AGACACAACTCCGCTAGCGCCTTCTACGAAGGCTGGCTTTCGTAACCCAGTGGTGATGTGGGAAAGAACTCAAACATACCAAAACATATACTAAAACCCTGTTGCCATGTGGTTGTTTTTTGAACTGATGCTTGAAAACGTAGATACAGACCCCCACACGGAACATCCACTCAAACCCCTGTGCTTGGGAGGGTCTCCCCGCAGTCTTATATGTGCACCATTGTCCACCACTATGTGGGCCCACCCAAACACCATGTATATTTGTATAACACGCTGTTCGCTGTTTTGTAAATCCCTTGGGCCTACAGTGCCTATAGGGCCTATAGCGCCTACAACATTGATGCCATGGATTCACCTAAAGACCCGCTCGTCCAAATGCTACCGCAGTCCTCGTCATCAACGTCCTTCAGGGCACAAGGCAAAGCGTGGAGAGCTCCGGGAAACATGAACCCCCCACACAAGGCCCAAGCAAATTGGGTCCAACAGTGCGACCTCTGAAGCAGGTCCAACACCAATGGTACATCCATCATAGATGCCATGATCCAATTGATATCAATCAAGAATGTGCAAAACGCATCGAGATGCCAAACGCATCGCATGCTCACGCTCATCCATGCTCTCACTCATGGCTCTCCACGCGTCCACCCTGGCCTCCGCGGAAGGCCGTTGAAACACGTCCGACTCAGGGGACTCCGTGGACGTGACCTGAGGCGTGTGACCGGATCCGACGCGACCCGAGGAGAAACGGGCGACCTGAACCCGGTCAAGACGACGAAGGGAGGGAGCTGTGAACGGAGCTGCGGAGCTGTGAATGGGTTTGACCAAACCTCACGAGCGCTCGAAGAGATGCTCTCCGAGGATATACTTTGCCGGCGCCTCGAGCACGTCTTCATGGAAGCGCCGTGTGGCGGGCCCCACCTGGTGGCTTCACCGAGTCGAAGCGAGGCGTTGGAACGCCGGACCGGCGGGTGGGCAGTGGGCGATGCGACGCTTGAAGCAAAACCCTAGAAGTCCGACTATTTTTTGACCGGCTGAAGTAAAGGAAGTTCCCGAAATCAGGTCCCCTAAAGACCTTTTATAGACTCCCAAACAAAAGGGACGTCCGAACTCGCATGGCATATCAAGCGCCAGAAATGGCCGTTGAGACGGCATTGACATCATTAAACCCACCCAGTCAATGCGATGTCCCAGGTGGTACGAAAAAAAACCTTCAGCTTGTTAAGTTAAGGAACGTGAACCCTTCTCAAGGTGTTCGACTATGTTCGCGGCATGTTCAGCCATCCTCATTGCAACTGAAACCACATGCCACATCGGTAGAGCTCCAGTCGTACCTCGACGCTTGGGGTGGGTGCGGGTGTTGGACCACCTGAGGCTATGGGAGATGAATCGAGATGAGGTTTGGCCTATAGGCCACGGCCCCTAGTGCCAGGATCACGGAGGGACCCATTGAGCCCACCCTCGCCCCGCTGGTCCCAACACTCGCCGCCATATAGCTGGTGATGAGCCTCCTGACTGGTACATGCGACGACACCTAGCTAGCAGGGAATGAGGGCACGGATCCAAGAGGGAATCTATACTGGGGCCATCCAGCCACCCCTCATTCCCATTCGTCGGACGGTTTCCAGTTTGGACGCCCTCGCCTCAATGACGCCCTCCTCGAAGAGATCCGGGTCCTGACTTGGGTGCCCAACACGAACGGAAGAAAGTGGGAACGGACAGCCGGCAGCTATGTTCAACGGGGCAGGGGCTTGTGTATGTGTTCATTCTGTACATTGTGTGACTGCAGCAATCTCTTTGTTCAACATGTTTCAAGCACCTTTTGTGAGAATTGACGAAATCGTACGAATTTGCGAAGCAAACTCTGACTTTGTTGGCTGGCGACTGGCGACCAGCCCACGTGCCAATTAATAAGTGCTTTGGAGCAGTTGTGGAAGGAGAAATTGACCCTCCCAAAAAGAACACACACACAAACAACACTCGAATCAAACAACCTGCTAATCCAGTAGCCAATCTCACACTTTCCTCTATGTATCGCCTCAACCCACAGAATGGACACCTGGGATTTTTGTTTCCCCCTACCATTCGTTCGGTTTCATATTCATCCTGCAATGCTAGCCACCTTTCGAACATCCCCGGGCAATCTTTTCGTTTTGTGTGCACAAAACTCGCCCTATGATAGAACTTGATCGTCTGTCGCCCAGATGTTTGTTGAATGCGCAGCAAAAGCACATCTCACCTCTACCTGGTGCCGCAGATTCTTTGGGGAGAAACCTTCGATCTTCTGCAGGGAACACATTCATTGGGAGTTTCCACTAAATCATTACATCATCTTGTGTCATTTGTTCCTTTTTTGATGCCACCCTCTCCCCTATTCTCAACACTGGTTTGCTTGCGCCCCCCCCACCACACCGCCACGGGCGTTTGCGGCGTCCTCCAGATCCTCCTGCAGCCGAGGCGGCCGCGTGGTCAGGTCTTCGAAGCACCAGACACTATTAAGTCTTATGCAGTTGCAACTGACACTTTTCCAGTATGTAACTGGGTCTTGAATATGTTGAATCTATGTGTTCCTGCGCCACCCTCCTCGCAGCTTTTCTCCCCACAGCGACACAGGTGCAGCACAGTTTCATGTGCGTAGACATCTATAAGAGAAAGCTCATCGGTCCAAAAGACGGACCTGAGCCTTCACCCCAAAGCACTTTCAAAATCACATACCCCAAGACTCTAAGTAGCGTTTCACCGTGGGATGATCACGTGGGGCTGACTGAAGAATCCACCTCAGAGAATGGTGAACCAGTCAGCGGTAGCCACTAGTCAGAAAAGAAGCAGTAATAGCCACTACGACTAGTCGGAATAGAAACCAAAGTAGTCACTAAGTAGTCATTAAGCAGTAGTTCATGTCGCGGTGCTCTTTCCTGGCGTTGGTGGCATCCTGCTGGGCCTCTTTCGGTCCCTTGCCAGCGGTTTTGGCTTTATGATGGGCTGCTGAGTAAACCTGAGGCAAAGGCACTACAATACTATACAAGGGGTCTGAAAAGTCCCAAGTACTCAAAAACAGTCATTGATAAAGTGCACAAAAAAGTTTTTTGATCTATTTGAATCCCAATCACTGCATGCATTTTCCTTTCCACGTCATCTTTTGGCGTTGGTTTGCGGGCCATGCGCTTTGGGGACACCTTAGCCTTAGCCTTTGCTGCAGCCTTTGCTAGTGCACCCCTCTTGGGAGTAACCATTGCTTTTGCTTTGCATTTTGCATTTGCTTTGGGAAGCGGAGATCGTCCAGTAGGGCAATGTTTGGGCATTGCCCTCTTGGGTGTGGCTTTTGGCTTGGGCTGCGGTGGTGAGTCAGCACCTGGGGTATCAGCGGTATCAGCAGCTTCATCATTCTTGATGCTTACCGGAGTTGCAGTCCCATCAGTAGTTTCATTGGATGCGGGAGCTGCATGCCCAGTTCCATCACCAGCTTCATCATGATGGGCCGACTCCTCCAAGGGAGTCTCCTGAAACACGGGGGGTGTAGCTGCACATGGTTTACTGTAACTACCTTACTATGATGTGTGGCTACCGCTGCCAAGGCAAAACTACGATGCAGCCAGTCCTGAGCTACCTCAGCCTCTTCCAGGAGCCCATCCAAGTTCTCACTGGCCAAACTCCGGAAGAGGGGCGGCTTTGTCTCCTGTTGTGGCGGATATGTTACATTATATAACCAACCCTTGGTTCAACCCCAAAACACCTAAAGCAGCAAGTTGATTCTCCTGCTCTGGCTTCGTGCCATCAATTTCATCGGCTCGATCAGTGTGATCGATTGGATCACTAGGAGAGTCCTGACACAGCAGCTTTTGGTCGGATCAAACACCCTGTAGCAAGAAGTGTCGACCCCTTCCCTTTGATCAACATATCAAAATGAAGTCATGGATTGAAGAGCGGAAAGGTGGAATGGTTGTCACATATCTTTGGGGTGGTCATTTTCCACATCTATATGAATGAGGTGTGGCTTTACGGGCTATCATGCACTGGTTTGCTGTTTGCCAGGCAAGGTTTTAAATGTTCATGTGTGGTTTCATGTGGATGATGCAGTCCCATGCCACCACAAAGGGTGTAAGTTACAGTATGTGTAAATGCTTTTGTGTGTCATCTACCAATCACAGTATACATACCTATATGTAATATACACTTCGGGTTCAGAACTCTGAATTACAAATCATCACCGTATCGCCATTCAAGATGAAAGGCATCCTTCTCCAAAAATGAACTGATGCCTGATATGTATAATATATATATATATATATCCTTGTGCCACCTCATGCACACTAGATTTCAAAATGTATGTTTTGCAAGCACCCCCAAATCAAATCATCTTGTCCTTGTACTCGGGCAAGCCCATTTGGTTGTCCGGATGCTCCAAGCTGAAGGTAGTGGCAGGCCAAGCATGTTGCCGACTGATAAAAGTTATGCCATTGTTTACAAAGAACATCACCACTTTTGGGTCAAGTGGCATTGAGGAATTGTTCAGCTCGACCATGTTGTTCGTGGGGTGAGATAGTTCCAAATGCTGCGACCTTGGAAAATGAGAGATGGGGTAACTTTCGGCTAGTTAGGGGCGCAGGTTCCAAGGTACCTGTAGGTAGCATAGTCTTGTTTTTGCTCGATCATATACGCAAAGGGTTCCATCGGCACCTGTGCCATGTGATGGTGAGGAAATTGGTACACATGTTTTCTTGAACATGCATTATTCACAGAGACATGCCCCAAGACAAGTAATCTGGAACCCGCCCCAAGACAAGCCTCATCACCACCATCACCACGCTTTGATGCTGGTCGCTTCGCAGACTTGGTGCCACCCCCCTTGGAAGCAGCAGGCCTTTTCTTACTACTCTTGTTTTGGTCATCATCCGAAAAAAGATCATCAAGACCACAAAGGCCACCAAACATGTCATCATCTTCATTGTTGTCGTCATCCTCGCCACCACCGAGAGGGTTGTTGGTATGGTCAGCCCCATCGTCATCATCATCATCATCATCATCATTGTTCTTCTTTTTCTGTTTCTTGGCTTTACTGTCTTTCCCTTTTGGATTCTTATCTTTCCCTTTATCTTTTTTGTCTGTCTTCTTTTTCTCATCTTTCTTGCCCCCTCCGCCCGGCGGTGAGGACTCTTCAGATGACTGGAACCTTTCAGGCAGGATCTCTCCAACCGAAGCATGGGCTGCACCTCGGGTGACATGAAGACTGCAATTTGCCAAAACGTAATCAGAAAACTGTTTGATGCAAGATGAGACATGGCACTGGAAGAAGCCATAGGGGGACGGACTGACGCGGATGTGGTAGATGGTGCAGACCCAGAACGGTTGCCCGTTCCAATAATCTGATTCAAATCAAAAGCCTCAGCTGAATATCAGAGTCATCGTAACAGGGTACCCCAAAGATTGCAAATGAAACTGCAAAATAGCACTGCCTGAATCGATCAACTTTTAATGGTATGGTCAACACCTTCAAACCCAATCCTTCAAACAGTCAGTTTGTCCATTGTGCCTGACCACTTCCCAATATGCGACTGCAACTGAGGGGCTGGGGCCCGAAAGGTACTAGACGCGGGGACGATGACCACATCCGAGTCATCGCTTGGAACTTTTTTCAAAGCTCTCCGATTCGACATGACCGCCGCCAGGTGGATCTACTACTCACCCTTTGAAAGCTACTTTCTCCTAAGCCACCAAAACAGTATGGCAGATACTAGATACATATAGATATATATATATATTATATATATTTATATGGCATCCCATGCAGAAATCCATACCCAAACAGTGCAGCTGCAGGTGACATCAAAGATTCCGGGTTGAAGATGCCGCTAGACCGGACACGACAGGACACGGGAGAGCCTTTTGTAGCCTTTTGCTGGCAGAGGTGGCTGGATTGTTTCTAAGACTGTTCCCAGGCCTAGATATCACTCAATTTGTTTTTGTATCAACATCGCTACTCAGAAAGAAATGTCAAGTGAAACAAAATTGCTTTCATGTCAGATATGGGTCCGGTAGATGAAGATAGATGAAGGCAGACCTGGGAACCAAGATTGGTATAAACTACCACCACGGACCGACGTGGCCCAAAGAATGACTCGGTCTAATGACCTGCAAAGCAGGCCTTGGTTTGGTGCTCTAGCAAGGAGCAAAACTTCAGCATCATGACGGAGGCACAACCACTGTCAAACAGCAATATCCGAAAATAATCCCAAGATCAATCTACCAAGATATGATTCTAAGTTTAGGCAGACCATACATACTTTGTTGGTTTTGCTCCTGATGCTTACCCCCCTAAATCATCCTAAATCAGGATTCCTCAGAATCAAAACATTTTTATCACAGTGCTTCCAAGATCGAGAACGCCGGTGACACATGCAATGGGTCGCAGCGGCACCAGGGTCTTCACACCTGATGCGTTGTTTGCATCCAACCTGGCAGGGCCGAGCGAGTGTAGCCCAAACAAGACCCCAAAGGGTTCATTAAAACACATTGGTACTATATGCACATTGGTACGGTATGCACACCTCATCCTCCATCCGACCATGAGTCGCTGGGCCCGCTTGAACTTGCCGATGTCAAGGATAGAACCAAAGTTCTTATGCGTCATAGATCCGGCCACCTTGTCCTTTTTGGTCTTCTTCTTTTTGGGTTTCCCATCCTCCTCCCGATCATGCTTGGGAGGATCGATCACAAAGACCAGCGGTTTGTCCTGCTCGATCTTGTCTGTCGAGGAGAGGACATGATGAGTCACAGCCAACTTGACCTGACAGGGAGGGGTCTCTGAGTTAAGGGAAGGGATCTCTGATGAAGTGTCTTTGAGCCCCGAATTCAAACTATTATCCATGTCCCATTTTTAAAGCATGTCATGGCTATGGCCATGTTTGGGTGTCTTCGATGAAACAAGAGAGAATCTTACTTTGGTATACTGTGGTCATATTAGCTATTCTCAAGCACCCTCGAGCTGCCGGATGATCGTGGACAAAGGTGTTGGCGAGTCCACACATGGCAAAGAAGCCACATGATCTGCCAAATTCTTTTTCTCTAGGATCATCACCGTGTCAAGAGTCACATTGAAAGAGAACCATCTCCCGCAGCTGTCGGCCATGATTTCAGTTGCATCCTGAGTGGGGGACAACATCGATACAGGATGATATAGGTCTAAAAAATCACCATGCCCACATACAGTGCCAGTGCAAGTATCCCTAAACCATGTGAATCCCAGGGTCGGCATTCACCCTCCAATCGCCGCTGCCAAAGCTGAACCTGTGCGGACCAGTCATGAGGGAAATATAGGGAAATGATTGGACACCCATAGCCAGATTGACATTAAAAACAGCTGGTGGTGCTGGCTGTGTGCAGGCAAGAAGCAGCTCACGATGCATAAGAAACTGGTTTTTCCCCCGGGACACGAGGAACAGCGGAGCTCCATCTTGGCCACATGCCATTTCAGCGCAGTTGTTGATTTGGAAGATGTACCTTATTATTCAAATCACACAGCGGGTCTTGGAAGGACAGAAATTTGGAGTACCCATGCCAGATGGAAAGGAAAGCTGACTTGGAGTTTTTAAATTCCGGGTATAGTTAATTTATCAGTTCCCAAATCCACCATCCAAGGGACGGTTTTTGAAGATTGGCAATGTCAGCCTCCTTGCCAATCTCTGAGTCTTCCAGTTTGATCCGCTTGAGAGGAGATCCAAGATCATCAGCTTCAGTGGTCCTATCCGAGGCGCAGCACGGGCTTTAGAGGGGTTTGAGGGGTCCTAGGGTACCTGTTGTGGAACCTCCCAATGTGCAGACAACTGTTTAACCCACAAGCCCGCCTCTCAGTCTCGTGCCAATATTCACCGTCAACATTGAACTGTTTGTTGTGTGCCTCTAGAATGGCAACTGTCTCATCCTTGAACTCGGTCTCCATCCATTTGGCCGCCAATGCTTGAAGAACTACAAGGCGATCATGTTTCTTCACACATACCTCGTACTTCTTTTCCTGATCATCCGGCTTCACTTGCTGGATTGCCTGGATGAGAGGTGCAAAAGAAGGGAAGCCCACAATCTTCAATTGCTCCGCCCTGCAACTCTCATAGACCTTGTTCGCGATCCGCTGAACCATCGTGTCAGGCTGCTTGTCAAGAACCACACTGCCACAAAGCAATCGGCGACCTGCAGCACACTCCTGGCTGGCGAGATGGACTGCCGGAAGGGACCGTTGGCTTTGGTTTTGATCCTGAAGTTGTTATGATAGGGAACCGCCTCGTTTTGTCATTAATGTTTTAGACAATTCTTTGACAATACCAGCGCAAGCATGTAAACACATGTAAACTACAAACTTTAAAGAACAAAACCTTCATGTGTATGATGAACTGGTTTGCTTTCATGAAAGCAAAAACGCAGGGACAAGACACAAGATACAACTGTTGGTTGGACAAACCTCAGCGGGAACATGTTCATTTAGCATGAAGGTCAACATGATTGATATCATTTAGATAGCAACTTCTTGTAAATGTGAAAAAAACTACAAATGTGTGGCCCTAACGGGATGTCCTCCAACGCTGCAAGTGCTGGCCAGCAGTCGTAACAGTGCAGGTCGATGACCAAGGTTGTGCTAACCGAGTCTGGCAAAAAGGTCCCAAGGGTCTTCTTGACAAAGTCTGTTCCGCCAGCGACCTGGGTTTAGGCTAGCACTTTTGACACATGCGCGACACCTTTTATCATCATTTGTTTTGACACCTCGTTTTGACACTTTTTGACACACCTAGTCACCTAGCATTTTGACACCAATTGGTTGCTGAGGGGCCTGTCTCAGTTCTTGGGCATCTGTGAAAGCCCTGCCCAAGTGTGGTGTCGATGTAGTGGCCTGTCAGGGCTGGACCAAAAAGAAAAGGGAAGCATGGAAAGTTGAGCCTGAAGCATGGAACTAAATTAAACTAATGGAAAGTGGTGTGTGACATTGTGACACTCAACTGCACCAGCTAGGTCCAAAATGATGAAACCCACTTCATTCAAAGCAGGCCTCCGGCTTGTACATCTGCGAGCGTGGCAACATGGCGACATCACGGATGAGACCGTGTTTCCACCCAGATGTCCCCCTGAACATGTTCAGCTTGTCGCGGTGCACCACTGCCAGTCCAGCAACGCAAGCGTCCCGCTTGCCATAGACCGAAGCCTCAAGCAATAGGTCATACAAGTACAAAGTTGGTCATACAAGTTCTCTTGCGGAAACACCGCACATTTGACAAGAAAAATAACAATAAATAACATTACTAAGAAAATAACATATATGCATATACAGCATCATTGGCATAGTGCAAACACACATACTATTATATATGTATGGCCATATGGCACCAGAAAACAATATATCACATATCCTTGCAAACAAAAGGTGCCCCTATTAAAACTGAAAGATAGTTGACAGCTAAAGTTCATCATCAATAAGGTTGGAGGTCAAGAATTGTTGAACATGTTTCTTGAGGCAAAAACATGTCACATGTAATACTTCAACAACTACCTCCGCACATACAAACTTACAATTTGGGAAACAAGCAGCCTGGTCAAATACCCAGGTCACGTTCTTGACGCACAGATTCCGGTCTTTTGCAGCAAGAGCTTTCCTCAACATTCACAAAGGACGAACTAAGCAGGAAAATAGATACAACATCAACATCCTGGAAACGAAAGAAAAGCAAACCTCTTCCCAGTGCTCATTTAAGTTTCTCAAGCTTATGCCGCACATCCCTGATGTCGGCTTCCTCAGGGTTCTCTGGATCAGCCTCCTCCGAGTCACCATCGGTCTGGTTGTCGCCACCCTCCTCATCGTCCGGTTCTTCCTTCTTCGCTGTGGTGTCATCCTCGTCCTTCTCGGTCTTTTCGATCTTTGAACTGGATTTCCTGCAAAAGCGGACTCATTGTTGCCGAGATCCCCCAATCTTCCCGAACTTATCACTAGAAAATTTGGTCACATTTACAAAACAAATAAGTCTTTTAGTCGGTGGGTCCTGCCAGTGTCAGAAGCACGGTTGCCGTGGACAACAATCGCGATGGAATTGCGTTTGTGTGATGCCAAGATGTTCGACACGGCTGTCAAAAAGAAGTCCATTTTGGCAGCCGGAGTGACTCCGGAGGTGGGCAAGTTGAGCCATACCACAAGACAGTGGTCACTCGCACTGCGAACTTCCTTCGGGTGGCTAATGAATCCAAAAACGAGGTCTGATCCAAAACAAGTTTACTATAGTCATGCTTGCGCGCGTGCTAAATGTTTTTGGAAACATATATAACGAAGATTACACACTAACTAGGACAAGCGTCAGGAATTGCATTGAGTGCATCATGCACCCATGTGGTGATAGAAGGCAGGATTGTGGATTCTGCTTCCAAGGACCGGCCGGTGAAGGTGTGGAGGTTGTTCTCCATGTACTCCTTGATGTGGTTCCATGCTTTCTCATGCATGACCTGCCATGGGTGCTGTAGGCATCCCTGTCCAACCGCGGTCATGGATTCGCTCAAATGGATGGTGGATGCCTTTTGAATTGTTTTCAAGTATCCCGTATTCAACACCACAAAAGTTTAGTTCTCACAAAAGGGGTGGCGGTGATTGTGATATGGCTTGGATGAAGCCCCCACCTCAAGCTCAGCGACCAGTTTTTGTCGACGTTTGGAGTGCTCCTTCTCGCTCCTCGGTCCGCAGGACTGGAAGAGGCAGAAGGAGGCAGAGGAGAACCCGGGACCGGACAAAAGTGGGTGTGACTTTCATAGTGGGAGATTAATGTTCATAGTGGGTGTGACTTTCTTGGGAACCAAAGCTGCACTACTTACTAACTTATATTATGATTACAGGAGCTGGTGTAGTTGCCGGCAAGGAAAACAGATATGATTACACAGCCTTGCAACTCAAGCTGAATCGGACCCCCTATCAAATTGCACCGGTGATGATGAAATAAGATATGCTAAGTCATCCGGGTTGTGTCGACTTTATGGCCATTCAAATACTCTGTCGAGGTAAGAATACATCATCAGCTGCCATGATCATAACAGTAACAATGCAAAGCAGAAAACCAAATCCCGATTCTACATGGTCACATCATCATCACCCTCATCATATCCGTTGTTTTCATCTTCCGCATCAACATCGCCACCACCACCACCATCATCATCATCATCATCATCATCAAAATCAAAACAACAATAACAATAATCATCATCATCATACACATCATCATCATTGATCATGACCAGAAGATTTGATCATCATGACCCTCAGATTTGATCATCATCATCATCAACAGCATCATCAGCAGCATCACCATCATCATTGTTTTTGCTTCCTATGCCAAATCACGATATTTGCAATATGTTCTTCTTCATCACCACCAACATGATTTTTCACAGCAAGCAGATGCAGGGAAACATTATTTTCATACATGCATCTACAGAACGACCACTTAACAAAGACAGGACCAGAAGTGTGGTAGAAAGGATCAGAATCAAACAGAGACCTATCATCAGCACCACCCACACAGCACAGTCATCATTGGTGAGAACAAATCCAAGGTCCAACGTCATAATAACGATAATAATAAGAATACTATATAATAGGCTATGGTAATCAGCACTGGCCTCACAAACTTTCAGCATCTGCATCCCCCACACCACAATATCAACATCAGCCTCTCTCATTATCATTAGCATCTTCAGCCAGCATCTTCACAATCATCCACAGTCATCTGAGCTGGACAGAAGGGACTGGGACACTACAGCCGACTATGATTGGCCATCATAAGTGTCCGTTCATTTTTCATCAGCGCGATCCCCATCCTAGCCATCATCATCATGACCATCATGGGTCATCATCACCAACATATCAGCATCACATTGGAGGTCAACAGCGCCAAGACCAACAAAGCTGACTCATATCCCTAAGTAATTGTTGTTCAGTTTTCCATAGCTACAGGTGGCCGGAAACATAGATAGTGTTAAATTGGTTTGTTGAAGGCTAGAAAAATTTGACCTATTGACTCACTCTTTGCGACTTATCATGTGGGATCACCCCTGGATTCAACACTGTCAATGAAATGGTTCCTCTAGGATCAGCCCTTCCCTCACACCGTGTGGCACCCACGTATATGCGGACATGCAGCGCAATCTTTTCAGACTGAAAAAGGACTTGGTCAGCTTGAAGTAGCTCTTTCCAAACGTTCCATGCCGCTTGCAGAGATTTGCTGTGAGCATTGCGCGTTCTGTCTTGAGACTTGCTGATGAAGTCGTCCACGCACACCCCACGAATCTGCAGGGAATGTTGAGTGCACATAGGGAAGGAACCCTTGCGGGACATGCTTACCTAGATGTTGACACTTATAATATAAATATAAAGAAACGGTGCCTTAATAGTTATAACATCAAAATGTTTACCAAAACATTCATGGCCTCGAGAACGAACGGGATGCGCTCCCACTCGAATGGTTGAGCAGCTTTCATCACCCCAGCAAGATCTGCATCTAGCGACCTAAATTTGTTGGATGCAGCTGGACCAAAATCTAATAATGTGTTTTTTCATTGTTTCATTCTTGAAATTGTTAAAATCTGAAAAACATCAAAAAACCAATCATTTGTTGGGGCCCATGTCTATCATCAAGATTGTGACGGGATCCTGTGAAATCCCTTGATAATCTATATGGTGTTGGACAGGGTCAATCACAGTCGTTTTTACAAAACCAAACTTCTCAATGTGACTACCCCTACCTTCACTTTGCATAGGTTGTGACGGGATTCTGCAGGATCCAGTCACATTTTCCCCTCAGCGATATATGGCGGTTGATTGGTTTTTTATGTTTTTTAAACATTTTCAGAATTTTGGTTAAACAGATTTGGCGGCAGCCAAGTGGTTTCAACAATTTGTGACGGGATTCCACAGAATCCAGTCACACTCCCCCCCCCTGAATTTGGCCACAGCCAAGTGGTTTCAACAATGTGTGACGCCTTGAGTCTGCAGTGGGTCCAAATTTGCTAGTGATACCAGCATTCCAGAAACCAGAACTGTGCTAGTCATGATGATCAAACTTGTAAGTCCCCCTCCCAGTGCTACTCAAGGCCAAATACACCGAGGTGCCCTTTCATGAACAATTCCACGTGTTTGTCCACGACATCACCTGGAAATTCAGCCTGGAGCTTCGGCACCAGATACAAGAAGAGACAGCAGCTGTCGTACAGGAGCATGTGTCCTCCTATCTGCTCTAAGTCTATGTAGACTGGTCGAACAAATGTGGCAAGGTTTAATGGGGCAGAATGGGGCTTTAACATCGCAATGCAATGTAAAACCAAAAATATATAATAGGTCGAAGGACAGATTCATGATTAGGTTCCTCATCGGGGTGTCTATCCGGTGGGCCTTCTTGCTCACCATGCGGTTGTATTCCGCAGTGCATCGGGCAACAACATCTTTCAGCGCTTTGGAGACGGATGCCGGTGCGACCCTACGCTCTAATGCAACCGCTTCCTTGATAGCCCCAACGAAGTCTAGCGCTGAAGGGGATTGCTTCTGGGCCGTCACGCATTGGATTCCTCGGTTGGTGAGAGGTTGGGTTGGGCACGGATACTGTCATGGAATCTTGAGATTGGATTCACATGTTAAAGCTTCCATTTGTGTGAAAACCGAGAAACGCAGTGAATGCAGGTGATGGTGACCAGGGTGCGTAAAGTGTGTGTAAGCACACCTCACCCAGCGGAAGCTACTCAAAATCTTCCGGACCGATGGCAACTGCAACTCCTCTGGAGTCAGTTCCTTAGATTTACAAAGAGGAAAACTTGGAAGACATCAATTCAAAGAGCTACCCCGCATTCGGATCTCTTCATGATGTCAGTTCACACTTCCAACTCCCGGACCATGAGCATAGCTTAAAACATATACAGTAAATACATTCATGCATCAAGACAATGGCAGATTTTGGCGATCCCCACCATGATGATGATCTTGCAAAAGCCATCATTGATGCCAACACTGCCATCGATAATTTGACGCGTACCATCTCCCATTGGGAACTTAACCTCCACTGCCTCTGCTGAGATCCGGTATCCATCTCGCAAGAATTCTCCGAAGTGCGCACTGGTCTGGATGTTCTGCGGGAAATCTTGCAGGGCACAGCTTCTGGAGAAACCCCGGACAAGTCAAACGTAGGTTGTAGTCTACTTTGCGATTCTGATATACACTCTTGAAGGTCACATCTTTATGCGCGCGTAATTCATTAAATTAATGATGGTCCGACCTACCTTTAAGTGAGGGCTTCAAGCACCCCCCAAACACACAACGTTTTCAACAACCCGACATCCATGCTTGGAGCGTGCACTCACATCAAAAGCCGTCAAAGGTAGCCAGAACTCTTTCATCGAACAGTTTGGAATGGTGCCCAAGGGCAAGCGAGAGTCAGCAGAGTCGGAGTCCATCACCACCTTTTGCACAACCTGACCGCCAGTGGTTGCGCAAAGCGATGACTTGGGTTGCGGTAAGACTGAGGCACAATATATATATATAAAATATATCCCAGGTATATGTTTGCCAAATGTTTACTTGACTGCTTAGCAGGCCTCTTGCAAGCTGCCTGTGAAAGTGTCGTTGACCCACGCCCCAAAGTTGTTCTCCGTTATGACCTAATTTCGGGGGGGCGCCGGCCGGACTTAAACCATAATTGAAATTAGAAAATGCTTTCATCTCATGAATGCTCAGGCATAGGTTGAACAGTGGAGGCAAATGAGCTCTGAACTGAATCAAAGAAGGTGGCAATCTTCGAGATAACCGCCGCACCAGCGGCATCTTCAGCCACATCCCCCATTGGGACTAGCAAGTGGGTTCCCTACCCTGGAGCAAAATGAGTTTCTCAAAACAAAACACTTGTACTGTTGTTAAAGCCTCCAAGCACAGACTGTGTATCATAAGTGGAATGGAACAGCACTATCCGCACTTTTTGGCATCGGTTCCACAACTTTGATCATACATTGCAAACCCCTGTAAATGCACAAGGCGATTTACCAGCACCCCTTTGTCCCAAAATCTAGGACAAAAAAGCATCACCTGTTTTGCCGGTGATGGAAAACAACCTGAAGTGGGTATGGTTTGGGAGGAGGCAAACCAGGACCCAGCCTCAAGTCCCCTAGACCATGCGCCCAAGACAATGACGGTCCGGCATCAATGAATTTCAACCTCGGACATGGCTCTCGGCGCCTGTCCGGGTCCGTGAGCGATCGCAAATACGATACTCCACGGCTCATGTGGGGGAAGTCCTTCTCGATACACTCAGCCATCTCTTGCAACTCCTCACAGCGTGAATCCTCCAAGGAAGCGGTGCTCAGGACGGTGCAGCTGTTTACCTTGTTAAAGAAGGCTTCTGTGACTCCCAGAAAGCTCTGCGGGAAGACTAGCACTGGACGTTGAGATAAGAAGGCGTCACTCATCTTTGCCTTCACCATGCAGAAGACATCTTTGTTTGACCCCTCTGCACGGAGTC